TCTTTATCCAATAATATATGAGATATTTATAATCCAATAATAAAATATTATAATGAAAGGTCATTATACAATAATATATAAAAAAATTATTATAACAAAAAAGCTAAAATATATAAATATTATAATTTTATAATTATTAATTTTTTTATTTTTTTATATTATGCAGTAATAATTAAAAATAATACAATATTTAAATTAAAATTTTTAAATTATTATATTTAAAAATATCAAATTATAATTAATATTATTAAATAATATAATAATATAGTTTTATAATTATAAATTTATTATTGTATTAATAATTTAAATTTTTTTAAATTAAAAATATATTTAATATTATATATTGTATTATATTTGTTTTTTTAAATATAATAAAAATTATTTATATATATTAATAAAAAAAATTGTTTTTTTATATTTTTTTAAATACTAATTAATTTAATTTAGCTTTATCATCTTGTATATTTACTATAAATTTTTATTATATTTGATATTTTTTCTGTATTAACTTAATAAAATAAATATATATTTTGATTTCAATATTATTTTACATATTTTGAATTTGCTTCTATAAATCTTATCTGAATTCACTCATATAAATTCTTTTTACCTAAAATCATATTCAAAAAATAATATAAATAGTAACTAATAATATTTTATAAGTGTTTAATTAGGTAATTAAAATAATTAATTAAGTATATTAATCCTATTATCAATGAATTATTTTTTTTATATTTACAATAATATGTTTTAGATTATTATCTTATTAGAAAACAAAATTATTTAATATATAATTATAATATTTAATAGTATCTATAAGTTTTTTTACAAGAATTTTCCTATATAATATATTATTTATAATTCTTTTAATTTATAAAGATAATTAATATCATGAGCAATAAATAATTTCACGTTATTATTTTATTATTACCAAATTTAATTATAGATTTAATATATATATTTTTTAATAGCTTCTTTTTTATTTTTTAATAGTATTTATATCTATTCAATTTGAAAATATTAAATTTTAACTCATTATATCTGTTTACTCTTTTTTTTGATTCAATTTTTATATTAATTTTGCCAATTCTAATTTATGTTTCTGATATTTTTTCTTTAAATATAACTTTGTTCATTTTATTTTTAATATTATTAAGTATATAGCAAATAATTAGTGCAGAAACTTTAAAATTTTTGTTTACATAGAGATAATCTTGAACTTTAATAACAGTTAAGCACCTATAGAAAATGATCAGATTAATAATTTTTTGTTTTAGTTTCTTATTTAGAATATTTAAATAATTAAATTTACTAGAATTAGAAAGTTTTGACACTATCTTTAATTTATATAGGTAATGATGAAAGTACTAATTTTTATTTCTCATGCAGAGTATCTTTTTTCAAGAGTGAGAATTATCTTTGCTCTTTTTTTGGACTTGTATGATGCTTATCTTTTTTTATATATCAAAAAGCTTCAATATTAAGAGAAAAAACAGATTGATGATTATTATTATATGTTATTAAAATTATATAATTTTAATTATGTCATTTGATTTGTAAAAAAAGAACAAAAATAATGCAACACAAAATTTCAAATATTTTTTGAATTTAGAAAAAAAGTAAATTAATAATTTATATTGAATTTATAATATTGTGTTATTTAAATATATTAATCGTAATTGATATTTTTAAATTTGAAAAAGATATAATAATTTAAAAATTATAATTTGAATATTGTATTATTTTTGATTATTACTATATATATAAATAAAAAAACTTTCTGAAAAAATAAATAAATTAATTATAAATTCTAGATATATTTGTATACAAATATCTCAAATATTTAATAATTAAAAATAAAAATATTTAGTATTAAATTCTTACTCAAATTTGATTAAATTTTATAATTAATATTAATAAAACTATTTTACACAAATTATTCATAAAAAAATTCTTTTTTAAGAAGATAATATATTTGTTCACATTATAAAAATTATATATTATTTTTTCTTTTCTTCAAATATTGAGTTACTTTTCTGACTTGGCGTACTTATTTCAACTTGCATGATCAGCTCCAACAAGGCTAATTCAAATTCCTTCGCATTTTCTTTGAAAGCATCACAACCAGCTCTTTCAAAAGCTTGATATGGCTAATCCAAAACTTTTATATTAATTTGATAGAAAATATTTGATCATATATTAAAATTGGAATTTATCAAAATAATTTACAGCCATTAAATATTGTATAATTGGAACAATAGATAAATAAATGGAATGTAATACCCGTAAATTATTATTATAATTTGATTAAGTTCTTGCCATGTCAGATTTAAGCTGTTTCTGCAATAAATGGAAATCAAATATAATAAAAAAATAAAGTTTATAAGTTAGTTATTTATAAAATATTCTACAAAATGTTCAATACTTTTTTATATACTTCTCGCTATATTATAGAAAATGGAGATATATCTAAGTATTAGTTACTTAAGAAATTTTATATATTAGTAGCAGGAGAAAATAAATTCTATACCATTATTACTAGGTTTTTTATTAAAGCTAAAACATAAGAGTAATCGAATTAATATATATACTCTCTGTATGTACTTTCTTGAAAAGCTAAGTCAACAATGAGTTATTAAAAAAAAGATATGCAAATATTTTAAAAGCACAATTTTTGTGATTCTTTATATTTTTTGGTTAAGCTCACGAGAAATGGCTATTGAAACTGACTGGCTTGCTCAGATTCACTTAAAATAAATACAACTCTTCAAATGATATCGAACAAGTTCTCGAGTGCAAATACAAGTACATGCTTTGTTTCTTTATTTACCTTCTCATCAAGCACAAATATAACTCCATATTCACATAGAGAAAAAAGAAAAAAAAAGAAGTTTTTGTAAATGTAATAACGCTGATATATGTTAAATCAAAAGTTTTATTAATAAGTAATATAATAAATAACGAAGTTAGTGCAGTTCCTATAATACATGTACTTCTAGGCAGTGATGGTAAATGACTTGAAATGATCCAATGACGGGTCATTTCAAAAAGTCAAGTGACCTTATGATCATCTTTTATCCAATAATATTTTTGTGAGGTCTGAAACTTTATTGGTTAACGTTTGAATTACATCTAAATGACCTAACGCTAATGACCAAATGACCTATATAGATCATTTCGATGTCATTTGAGGTCATTTACCATGAGTAAAGTTGCGGAACTACAACAAGATTATTATTATTATGATGTTTTAAGTAGAAATAGTAAAGTAGTTATCGTCATTGCTATCGTCTTCTTCTTTCGAGATTCTTAAAAATGCATCTTCTAACGTGGTATTCATTATTCCCCAGCCATTAATCACTCCATTAGGATTCTCTTCGAGCAAATTAACGAAATCCCCTATATCATTCATCGCGGTTGGCGGAATTTGGTATATTAATTCACCACCATCGGAATTTTGAAGTTTAGCATGCGGAACAAGTTGAGAGACCCATTCTTGTACGGATTCTATATTTGCCGGGTCGGTTTGGATTTGAATGCGATATCCAATCCCATACTGGATTTTGTCATAAGACAGAATATAAATTAGAATGTACGACTATGAAACATATTCACTCAAGATTTTTCTGTTTACCTTATTCTTAAGATGTGTTGAACTTCCTATTGCTCTAATGTAGGATGAAATTTAAACTTAGAAAAAGAATTTGATTTTCGTCAAAATTGAAATTTACATATCAATATATTACCGTAGTTTTCCATGTGCCATAATTCCGATACGATCGCCAAGCAAATCTGCTTCTTCCATCGAATGTGTTGTGAAAAGACTGGGATAGTATCGATATTTATTTATCGTTATTAACGTTAATGAGCTATAAAAGAAAAAGCACAAAAATCGGAACATAATAAAATTTACATTATTCGATTCTTTTTGTATTCAGATAAAAAGGACCACATTTTTCGTCGATTCAATGGATCCATACCCGTCGTTGGTTCATCCAAAATTAATACTGTAGGAAAAATCAATTAATTAATCATTAGTCACCTTTTTTTCAGTTTCAGCTATTACAGAGCAACCTCCATACATCAGGAAGTTTTGAGAGTGTAAAACAACACATTTAATTACGTAATGTGTTGTTCTACAAACCTTCTCTTTATGTTGTTTTACACTTTTAATTAGTGTACATGTATTTAATTAGTGTAGAACATCATGCATTAACATTAAACAATGCAGTTGATGTAAGCATTGATCAATGTGTTATTCTAAGGTTTCTAGAACAACACACTAAATGTGTTGTTCTACATTTTCAAAACTTTCTGACGTACAGTTACAACCTCTTTAAGTCTCACTTTTTTCAAGCTTGAGTGCGTGACTATATTGATTATATGGAGGAACGAATGTACTAAATATTCAAAATAAAGATAAAGCTTACTCTTTGGATCTCCAATTGACGCAATAATAACACTCAGCCGCCGCTTCATCCCGCCACTCAATTTACTCGAGGGGAAATTTTTAGCTTTCACCAAATCTACTTTTCCTAATAACTCCTCTACGTCCAATTCGATTCCTTTTATTCCTGCGAAAAGGTTTATATGCTCTTCGCAGGTTAAATCCGTATATAATAAATCATGTTGTGGGCAGAAACCCAATGATCTTCGAATCGAATCCATGCTTGTGATGATATCCTTATTGTAGATTGAGGCATTGCCGGATGTTGGTTGTAAATGACCAGCAATAATAGAGATTGTTGTTGTTTTTCCAGCCCCATTTTGACCCAATAAAGCAAACCTTTTATTTTACATAATAATTAATGTTAGCGTCAGTGAATTATCGAACATCGAGTATCGAATATAAATCTTACATTTGTCCATCTTCAGCTGTCAAATATAAACCATTAACTGCAAGTTTCTTTTCTCTGGATTTTGAGAATAAATTTCCTCTGAATTCCTTGACAATCTTAACAATTCGAAGTGCAACTGCAATAATATAATAGAATTGATTTTGTTAATTAAGATTCATATTCGAACTCAACTTTATCAATTTAGCAAACTCACATACATGGCTGATTGAAATCAAGTGCACGAAATCTTTCGTTTGCTAAATCTTCATCCAAGTTTACCTGTTGTGACAATAGGATAAAAAATCTACCCGGATAATCAAAAGATTCTTTCAAAAAAAGAATAGAAAATATACTTACATATTGTGTATCATTTGACGTTTCTTGATAGCTTTGGCCAAAATTCCTAGCATAGAATTTTGGAACTTGATCTATAATCCAAACTGCCATAGTGTAGACAATAATTTGAGCAGACATAATTATCAAAGGGTAGTATGGTTGTGGCAGGAATGGCTCGATTTCTTTTATATCATAAAGAGTTTGGCTTTTTAGTTCATTCCAAGAGAAACCAGGATTATCAGTATATGATGGAGTTTTTGTTGATTTCAAGACAATTTGTGAATAGAGTTCTAATTAAGTATTGATGAAATATACATGTAATGGTCAAACTTCTATATCTTTATTATAATATAACAATAATTAATTTATACTGATATTTACCCGCAAATTGGAAAAATGGTAAGAAAAGTCCGATTATCCATCCGGCAGATGTACCTTGTGGTTTCGAGAAATCACCTTTTGCAATTTTTTTTTCAGAAATATACCAAATGGCCCAAAACTCGACGACAATAGATAAGTAAATGAATGCTAACAAAGAAAGTACGAAGGCTGCACCAAGTACTAATAATAATGATCAACTTTCAGAATCAAGGATATTTTTTTATTAGTATAATCAAATAAGAAAAAACAGATAGAAAAGGATATCAGCTGTTCGAAAGCGAAAGGTTATTTTCGTAATAAAATATCCCAAGACAAGCATTGACCAGCCGAAAAGTACGAATAACATCAATAGAATCTACAAAGAGGAAACTTATGTGATTAGAGGTCGGTATCAAAAATTATTCATTGTAAAAAGAAAAGATGCGTATTCAACTTGCCGAAAAATTAGTTTTCTGAAAGAATGAAAAATTCATGGCATAACCAAGACTGATCAATATCAAAGATTGGAAAACAACGAGATACCCAGCACTAATAAAGTGTGATAACCAATATACACTTGGTCTCAAACCCCTGTTTATATAAAATGTTATATGACTATTATTTACTCTATGAAAACAAACTCATTTACTTACATCATTTCCATCCAATTTCTTTGTCCATATTCCTTTTCACGTATTGTTTCCATAACACCAGCCACTATAAAAAGTAATAGAACCGGAACCACCAAAAACATCCCAACCGATTGAAAAATATCCGGGTCAATAAATTCTCCATTTTCGTTATTGGTATTGTTGCTATCATCAATATTCATTTGCATATCTGGAAATTCTTTTAGCTTAATATCAATTTGTGCATTTGGCAATCCATTGGACATTAAAATTGCTTCTTCGATTCCTCTTTTTATTGACAGAAGATTATTCCCGTAGTGATCAATTACAATATCCAGAATTTTATTAGAATGTGCGCTAAATTTCATTAGGCCAATCATTCTTGAATTCGTATTTATTTGAGTTTCTTCGCCATAGATTGTTTTATTTTGTACAGTTGTAAAGTTATACCAAAGTGTGTATTCCACTCTACCATCATCGGGAAATTCAAAAGAGACTGCGAAATCTACTACTTTTGGATTTAGTAATGAATAGCTATAAATAAAATCACTCGAGGACACTGGGACAATTCCAAGGTTATGCTTTGGAGGATCTTTAACATTAAAAAATATTAAAAAATAATAATTATATAAACAAATTAAAAATATTCTTTATTTACTTAAATCCATCAATAGCCTGTCACTAAGATCCAATTTGTTCCCTGTGCGTTTTTGGTTTTTATTTACGAAATTTTGCATAATTTTGGTTGCTCGTTGATCAATAGGCGCATACAACAAGGTAATGCATTTAGTTTTTTCGCGGGCTGGAGGCTAAAAGATTGAATAGTGCTTTATAAAAAATTATATCATACCCGCAAATAATGTTAAATTGAAGATAAATACCTCGCATTGGTATAATCCTGGTAAATCCCAAATTGCAAGCTTTTTATTTATATCTTCTACTACAAGCTCTGCATTGGATAACATGGCGGCGTTATTTAGAACATCTCGATATTTATTGATATCCTGTCTTATCAAATTTCTCGTCGATGTCTCTAATCCTAATACTATCAATAAAACTACAATAGGTGCAATAACTACAATCGCAAATGTTTGAATATAGTATCGTTGCTAATTTATGTGTTTGATACGTATATTAAAATTCACTTAAAATTCTGTTAAGTTTATTATACATTAATACATTAATATTTTAATATTACCTGCAAAATATAATGTTGCTTCAGCATAGTGATTAACTGCTTTTGAAAACTACCAATCTGTGAACGAGAATTTTGAGTTCGATCCATTGTTATTTTTAGTTTGCTAATTCTATTACTATTTACATAAGGATAAGAATCTTGACAAATGTGCAAAGTAATTGATCGTTCTACTTGTTTAGCTTAATTCTTGAGTTTCTGGACGAGATGCTTGAAGAAATAAAAATTCGAACGTAAAATCACGAAGCTTACTAGATCACCAGAATATAACAAAGAGGAAATTAATTAAACAGAGATCAAAAATCGCTTTTTTTTTATTGTACGTAGTAAATATCATTCAAATACATATTTAGATACAATACAGTAATAATATAGTTCATAGCCATAAATAATTAAAACTTGCATGAATGAACTGTATCATTACGTATACATGTGCATGTATGCATACGTAGTAAACCCGCCTCGATAAATAGAAAATGATTCAGGACAGTCATAGTAAATTTGCCTCAATGAATTTACTAAATACGTAAACTGAGTTTTTTACCACTTCGGTTTATGTGTACGTACGTATGTACATTTAGTAGGTCACATCGATATGTTTCTTAAACTTCATTTAAAATAATAGCGATAGGGATAACTGATAGATATTATTTATGGAAGTGACAGAATTGGAATATAAATAAAAAATATGCTGCATCTGCTCGTCAAAACATTGCATTTAGTAAGATAATTGCTCACACTAAAAAGATCCTAGACCAATCGACAAGAATATTACGCTAGCATTTTGAATTGTAGTTAATATGGGTGGTTCTATTGAGTGTGTCGCCATATCAAGTTTGAATAATGAATAAAAATTTTATATACGTGAATGACGGATCATACATAACCGATCCCGCTGCAGTTTTCGGAATTCGTGTTACATGTTCCACCAACTTCATTAACAATGACATCATATCTTTGATTTCGTTTTTGGATTAGCAAATGAACGTACGGTTATTTCTTGGTACATGTAATACGTAAATATTTATGCGCAATTTCTGATCAACGGCAAAACAAATCCGAAACAATAAAACGAAAAATGTGAATAATACGAGAAACAAATGCTTAAATCTAACATGTCGATGAGGCAATTTTACATATACCTGATCTCTAGTTTTGACTTTTAGCTCTAACCCCAAAATCTACCTTTAACAGTTGCCGACACAATTATTAGAAAAATTTGAATCAGTTAATTATATTGAAGAACAAAAAAGCAATCTGCTTTGAATCATGTAATGATTTCAATACAACTTCGCGTTTACCACATCTATTTTCTTCATGATCCCAATACCCATTTAATGGTCCATCCAACCAGGTTGCTTTATAATTGATCCAAAACCTCCTTTTCACGTAAAATGAGTTCTGACATGAAAGATATTGCGGTGAAATTCAATACTTTCAGCGTTGTTAACAAATGTGCTGATTTCAAAGAGGAAAGTATATCGATATATATTGATCCGTTTAGTATTGAAGATGATACAGAAATCAGAGGAAAATTAAAAAAATGTTGTTTAACGGGAATGACGCGATAGCTGTATATAAAGTGCAGAGTAATGATATAACTGAAGCTAGTGACAAGTATTGGTAAAGATTTGATGAAAAAAATGAAGAATTATATGTGGTAACTGAATGAACTATGAACTATAATCGCAAAAAGTATCTGCGTTCAAACATAGATATTTCATGGATACAAAAAATTAAAATTCGTAGAAGGCCTCACAAATGCTCTCATATATTGTCATAAAGCCAATATTTTTCATTATGATGTTAAAAGATAATTTGAAAGATTATTAGAAATATATCAAAAATCAATAAGATTAATGTAATAATCGTATTATATTATTTAAATATAGTTCGAATGTATTATTAGACGAATATTCAACTGTGAAACTTAGCAATTTTTATATGGCATGCTTCCATAACTACGCGACAATATACTCATTGGATCAAATGAATCAAATGAGCATGAGATAACATAATCATTTCTATACCTTAGTTAAGTTTTAAAAACAGTAAATTTTTTGAAAAATTAAAATAGAAATAGATGAACTGCACTCGAAAATTAAATACATATAACCTATTAAAAAAGGCGACTGTCCATCACCAGTCTCGAATGATGTTATATCAGAATACCAAAGAATAATGGAACTGGGTTGGGCTCAAAGTTTACTTACATGTGATAACTCATGAATTGCAATTGCTTTGTAAGGAAAAAGGTGCATTATCATTGAGTACATTGTCACTGAGTCTATAGTTGAACACTTAAACCATGTGATGCTATTTGGCACATAGTTTAGATTATAGTTTAGGATTATACAGTTTTTACAACTCTAAGCATCACCAGTTTAGATGTTCAACTATAATTGTCACTTTCAGAATTATTAAATTTCAGACTTGAATATTGATAAATTTGGTTATACGATGCTAATGATTATTCTTTATTTAGCTCACTTTGACTTTAAAGCTGTGTATAAAAAAATCAAGGAAATTAAGTCTGATTGACCAGCTTGGAAAGATGTCATTACAATTCTTAATAAAAAGAACTTCGAAGAGGCAATAGAAGGATTAAAACTATACACTCAAAGTGATGCTAATGAGGCATATTTAGCAGATATCATGCTGGTAAACTGTTATACGAAGAACATCATGGTGCGCTCCAAGATGAATTACAGGCTTTGGTTTACTTACATGAAACAGCAGACTATTTACCAGCGAGTAGTTTTACTCCCCTGACTCAAATATTTATATGCGAATATGTGTTTAAGGGGTACACTATATGATCAAAAAAAAGGGTCTAAGATATTTGAAGATGCTATACGAGCATCCGAGAAGAATGCTTCATCATTATATGGGAATATTATGTGGAACGGTGAACATAGGAAGCAGATTGATAGTGCTAAGGCTGTAGAAATGTATAAAGTATCAAGGAGTCGTGGCAATGAAAAAGCGGGTGAAATTTTAAAAAGAATTGAGGCTATAAAATTCACGCTGTGGAAAAAGCCACTGCACAAAATTAGAGATTTTAAGTGGTGACTAACTTCGTTAAATAAACGAATCATACTTTTCGTGTAAATTTCTTTCTGATATAACAAAATGTCATAGTTCACTTGAATCAAAAATCGACCTAATAAAAAACAACTTATTATTGTTATGAAATTATGTCATTTTATTAATTAGCGTTATATACATATAGCAAAACCCATATATCGTCACCCCGTTATAGTCATATCATTTTTAAACCCCGCTACAATCGCATTAATGAAAAAAATCAATATTGGCCCGACCGGGGGGGGGGGGGCTGTATTTAAATTCTTAAAGCGTGACCATGATGCATATTATAGCAATAGAAAACTGCAAGGAACCAGTAATCAAGCAAATCAATAGATATCGATATTCCTTTTTTATTAATCTCTTGATTGGTTCATGATTAGTGCTCCAACCGGGTCGGGTCCAATCCGTGACCCGACCCGAAATATTTCGGGTCAGCCTAAAACTCGTTGTTTCTCGTTCAATATTAATCAAATTAAACAAAAATTTGGGAATATATATGCAATTACATCCCGAATAACTCTACTTAAGATACAAAATACAAGTGTATTAGTAAAAATAAAAGTTATCAACGAAAAACTATTTTACGATTTTCGGTCAAACCCGACCCGACCCGAACAGAGCTTTATTCATTATTGTAGGTTATCAAGAAAAAGATCACTGCAGTGAATGTTTCGATTTTAACTATCAACGTTATGAAACTGAATGGTCTAGCGAAAATAAGGATACCGAGTGTCTAATAAAAGAATGCATGAAAATCAGAAAGCATTTCAAATGGATCCCGTTTGAAAAATTTACCAATGCTGAATATCTTGGAACAATTTCGTTGTATTACAAGTGGGATCATGAAGCTAATAAATTTAAAAGAGATGGATACCGAAATAATTATGTGATTCAAAGCAAATTATAAACGAGGTAAAAATAAAGAATTTCTAAAGTGTAAGCAAGTTGCTTTTTGTTTTTTAATACTCAATGTGACTTACCACAACTCAATGCGACTATCTTGCGCATTTATTGTGTGGTAAATCTTTAATATGTATGTTATTATTCAATACAATTAATCTTTTAAAATATATTTGGACTGCTCTGAAGTTCAGTGATGTTTACTTTGATTATAGAAATTATGTTAATTAAATTATATTATCTATGGACTGAGAAAAATTCACCAAGAGAAACTTGTTCATTGTGATTTCATCTTGAAAATATAATATTATATATTGATGTCTTTATTGCTGATTTGAGCTTAGCGGCCCAGCAGATATAAAACCCAATCAAGAAAAAACCATGCACCGAAACTGTAGATACATGTTCAGTGGGCGCTCGATACAATATCGTGATCGGGGGAAGAGATTTGATGTTATTATATCGAGATGTTACTCTATCGAAAAAATAAATACTATGAAAGCTTATTACAATAATGATAGATTTTGTGTTAGTATAACGAGATGTTATCTTAAAGAGTGTTACTGTAACGAGCGATCACTGTATATTAATCTATTATGAACCAATTAACGTATTCTCTAGTAGTAGTACGTATTGATTCTAAAGTGTTAGTTTTACTGTAAGGAATTGCTGTAATATTTATTTAATTCCCGTTTTTACAATAAAGGGTGGGAAGAAATGTAATTCGTTGATAATTATTAATCAAAAAGGAAGTTATTTTATACATGTACGTCCATGTTTATGAACTAAATTTGGTTGTGTAATATAAAATTAATATGAATATCATTGGACGAAATTATGATACACCATACGTAATTTGTAATATCATATAATTATGGAATTACGAAATTTTTGTTGAGAATGGTAACAATAGTAATGGACAATGGGGATCTACGCAATTATATTACAGTAATTCCAACTACAAAAAATTGACTTGAGGTGAAAAATTAACACATTTATTTGAGATTATTTAGAATCTGAGTAAAATCCACACAGAGGGATTCGTGCATCGTGAATTTCACCCTGGAAATATATTATTGCATCATCAAAAAAAAACTCCTCAGATTGCAGATTTTGGACTTGCTGGTCCAGCAAATATAGAAAAATCTAATCGAAAAATTTGCGAGGTTCTTTCTTATGTTAGTCCAGAGGTGCTAAATAAATGGAAAGCCCTACACTAAAGCTGCAGATATTTATAGTTTTGGAATGGTTATGTACGAAATTGTGACTGGTAAATGACCATTATGTGAGCGGAGTCATGATAGAGATCTTGTATTAGACATATATAAAGGAGTAAGACCTAGGAATCCGTTCTATTCTCTTTCCAGCAAACGACAACAAACTGGTCAATTTGCATTTTCAGTGCTACAGTTCTTTAAGTAATGAAGAAATTATCCAGTCTATTAAATTAGAAAATCAGAAAATAAAAGAACTTGATGAGGA